CAAATATTTGTGTTCAATTCAATTCACCGCACATTTATGTATCTTCTTATCCATTAAGAGATGCGAGTTCGCTAACAAAATTTTTAATGCTGCTATTTCTTCAGCATTTTTTGGTATCAGTTCACTGATTCTAACTAATGTAACTAATTTCACCAACCAGATTTGATGTGGATTAAATATTGAGGGTGGGCCTAGTTCACATCCTCCAGAAAACCTCTCGTTCTGGGGAATTTCGCCTTAAGCTTGCAACTTAAACCAGAAGCGTCGAATGATAGATGGGTCTGGAGTAAAGTAATTAGGAGAAGAACACTTTGAGAAATATCATCTTTTGTTTAATTTTGAGAGTAAAAATCGGCGACTCATAGATCAGCTCACGGGTTATTCTTACTGGTTTAAGCATTTAATATCAGATTAATGCCATCGAGCTCTTGATATAGAGGTCCTGCTTTGTATTGATGGTCCATTTTTGTTTAGTTTCGAAGCATTCTGGCTTCTCAAAGATGACACCAGAGGCATCAGAAAAGTGTGAGAAACATGAAAACGACGTCAGTAACTTGAGGGGGTAGTAATGAATATGTTACATTTGTCAAATATGATGAACCAAAGGCCACCGAAGCTGAAACGTTACAGCCTCAAGAACAGCCAAGAATTAGAACTCTCTGGTGGTGGTTGATGGTGTTACTATGGTGCTTTGTAGTCATCATAATTGTTTTCGTTCTTGTGAAGTGGGGCGTGCCATTTTTTTCTGAGAAGGTACAACATCTCTTTTACTCTAATTCTAGAACACAAACTAATCTGATATATTAGAAAATTGCAGATTCTAAGATTTGGGTCTTCCTCCAGAATAAAATTAAATTATTTAATTAGTATTAACTGATTGGTTTTAAAGCCTATTACTTCTTTCTCCTATCACTTTGCATGACTTCTCTTCCATAACTGCGTTATCCCGTTTCACCATGTTTTGGTCCGTTGTTCTTTCAACTTTATTTTTCACTTCATTTCTGATTATGAGAAATACAATGCTTCTAGAATGATGGAAATCTTGGTATGCATGTCTTCATAGCTAAGACAGCAATAACGTAGACTTGTTTGCTGGAAGTCCCGCTTTCTGCCCTTTTTATTTTTCCTTTTTCCAAGTTTCCGAATGTCGCAAGGTCCTTCAGACTGAGCATCATCAAATTCGTGGACATAATTAACAAATTTAAAGGGCTTGGAGGATAATAAGTATCAATATCCTTACTACTCCCTATTCCTAACAAGCAGGGAATCTGAGAAAGATAATTAAACTAGACCTATTGTTTTCTGAAGATTGACCCCCTCCAGCAGAAACTAAATAATAGGACTAAAATAATGCAAACAATGTTTTGTAGTTTGGCATCAATTATGGAATGAGCCACACAGCATGAAGACATCTGGAACATTTGATTCATTCGTAAGACACCCCTTGTATCAAGTCCTTAAGTTTAAGCTATAGAGAGTCTAGCAAAAGCGTAATATAAGGATTTTCAAACGTGTTGAACTATGACCGATATTCCATGCCCTATTTCATTTTGACAAAGAGATATCAAACATCTTAACAACTGCTATAACATCATTCATACTATGACGCTTTTTTTTTTTTTTTTTAATTCTAGGTTCTTTATCCATTCATGAAGTGGCAAGATACTGCTTTTAGCCGTCCAGTTCTCGCCATTGAACTGGTTGCTTCTCTGGCTTTATTCCCAGTATTCCTAATCCCCTCAGGTCCATCCATGTGGTTGGTTGGGATGAGTTTTAATTATGGCATTGGCTTTGTCATAATTATCGGTGGAACAACCGTTGGCATGATCCTCACTTACCTAACTGGCAGACTGTACTGTGAACTGATTCATGTAATTTGTATCTCATATATGATCATAGTCTCTCGAGTTTTTTGCAGTAATTTTATAAAAATAGTGTTCACTTTCTGTCTGCGAACTTGATTTGTTTCTTAATTTTGTAGCAATGGTTAAAGAGGTGGCCCCGGATAGCAGCAACAATAAGGCTTGCCACTGAAGGAAGCTGGTCCCAGCAATGCCTAATGGTTGCTTTGGCCAGGGTTTCTCCTTTTCCCTATACCATATTTAATTATGCAGTATCAGTGACAAACATAAGGTTTTGGCCCTACTTGTGCGGATCAATAGCTGGAATGATACCAGATGGTTTCAACTACATATGCTGGTAGGTTTGTTGATCTCCACTCCGTCCCGAAAAAAAGGAAATTAAAAAAATGAAACTTTATTGGGGAAAAGAAATAAAATATATGGTATATATATTTTAAATAAAATATATTTTCAAGTAGATATGATTTATAAAGATAGAACAAAACTGGTTTTATTTTCAAATGAATGTAAAGCATTTGACAGTTGAATTAGGCAGGACATGCTTGTACGCCCTCAGTACTGATGTAAAATTTGTGGTTTGTTATCTTTTGCTTTCTTTGTAATATTTTTTCAATTGATATCTTACTTTTGGTTTTTTGGACAGTAGTTAGTTTTCTGTATAGCACAAGAATTTCCCTTGATGAGAAGTATGTATGCTATAATTTTGAAGTCTATATGCAAAGATATAAAACTATTTTTCCAGATCATTGGCTTATCCGCCAATTCTCTCACCTAATATGAACAAATCCGATCATTATAAATTTTTTTTTTCAAGAGACTGCTCTATGACTATTTTATTAGTTCTACAGCACATACCTGATAATTTCCTTTTGAACATATAAACTGAGCTGAAGAACATACTTCCTTCTGCAGATTTTCTAAACTTCATCAGCATATTTATTTGATAATTAATTTAGAGTGGCTGATTCTGTGCAGTGGGCATTTAATGAGGGCGTTGGCAGATTCACAATATAGCAAGGATCATAAAATGACAGGAGCAATAGTATACAACATTGTTACTTACGCAGTTGCAATACTTATACCTGTTGTTTTCGTTGTTTACGGCAAAAGAATTCTAAATAAAGTGAAAAAGGAAAAGATGAGTGAGGAGGGTGAGGTTGTCTCTGCTTCAGGTAATGCTAGTTCTGTTATGGAGAAGCTCTCTCTTGAGAAGCCTAAGCAGCTTTTGCTTTCTCCTTTAGCTCTCTTGAGTCATGCTCATGACAATCTTAATATAAATAAAAATATAAAGAGTTTGGTTTAAGATTATACAGTATTGTATTTCTTGCCTTTCTACTAGATCTATTGTAAATACTAATAGGAACCGAGAAAGAGAAGAAATTGAGGCCAGTTTGAAGCTGGAGATAATTTCCTTTCATATTGCTTTTACCAATTATAAAACTGATCCAATAATGTGTGAAAGCAGAGCAATCTGCGAAACAGACAAAACGAAAAACAAAATCAACCAACGCCAACTTTAATAATATTAGCTCTGGACTCCGGTCCTAGTTATAAAGGGTTAGTTGACTAATTTGAGAAAATTAAAAAAGGAAATTAAGTTAATTATTTATAATAAATGGTTATAACTACTATTGCTAGAAAAACTATCTTAGAAAAAAATGTACTCCTCCGGTCCTTAATATAGAACCCAATTGTTGAGTTGGTTTTGGTCCTAAATATAAGACCTATTTCTTATATTTATCAATTTTTTCTAAATTACCCCTATAGATACTCCCTCAACCATAATCAAGTAGAAGAGGGAGAGGGGATATTAAGAAAGATGATTATGGTGTTTTAGGAAAATCGTGTTACATTTCTTATAATTAACTAAATTACCTAACTTCCTTAATCTAATCAAATCAGTTAAATGGGTCTTATATTAAGGACCAGAGGAGTATAAATATGAGAAACAAAATGGATTGGGATATTATATTTATGTTTAAAATAAAAGTCAAATAAGATATTATATTAAGGAGCAGAGCTAATATGAGAGAGTGACCCTTTATCAATATCCTTATTCAATAACCTCAATAGAAGAGATGATAGGCATAGGACTCAATCAATATTTATCACCAACCGTATATCCCAAAAAAAAAAAAATCAGTGTATTAAAAAAAGCATTTTATTGTTAAGTCATCATTAAATTCGTCAAATCAGTACTTTTCATTAATAAGAGTTAACAGTATTAACATTAAGAGGTTGAAAATATACTTTGTAAACTTAAGGGATAAAACTGAAACTTAATACTACCTCCGGTCCTAATTATAAAAACCAGTTGACTAATTTGAAAAGATTAAGGAAGTAAGTTGAGTTAGTTATTTATCCTAAATAAGTGTTGTCTTTCCTAAAATATCCTTGCTAATCAAGTGTATTGACTAGAATTCTTATTATTAGAAGGGCTACTTTGGAAAAATATATATAAATATGAGAGACAGTGGATTGGAGTCTTATATTTAGAACCAAAATAAAAGTCAAACAGGGTCTTATATTAAAGACCGGAGGTAGTATAAATTTAGAAGACTAAACATATATTTTAGCCACAAAAAAAAACCTTTGTTTTATTGAACTCACTGCTAACTTTTTTTTTTAAATCGTTATCATCATTCTTTATTGTGACTTTTTGATAAGGTTAATTTCAGTTCTTGATGAATTGCGATTATCAAAAGAATACATACAAGCCACTCTAGCAAACCCGCAATATATCTAAATTTCATGACTCATAAGCTTCAGAAAACACACTGAATTGCGCTAACTTTAAAATGAGAACGGCGAAAAGTTTTGAAGATAATATATCAAAGCCAACACAAAATTCAAGGTGGTAAATATTAAGCAAACAAAATATTCGCTTTTAAATATTGGATAAATATATTTTAATTTAATATTTTAAGATGGTAGTCGGATCATCAAATTACAAGATTTGAAATACAAAAAATTGACATTATTTTTCAAATCTATGTATATATGGCAGATTAAATCAAATATTATCAAATTATTTGAGCCATACTTTAAACTTCTGATATTTTTCAATTCGGTAAAAAAAATGATGTGATCAATAATGTTGGAATTAGCATGTATAATTTATTAATATTTTCAAAATTTTAAATTTGCATGCAAATATTACAATATTTTTTTCCCCACACACACACACACACCGTTAAAAATAATGCTGATGGGGACTACATATTTCTCTCACTCATCAATTCTTGGCAATCTTGGAGAAATCAGAAGAGAATTAAGACTGAGCTCCAATTCTGGGGAAGGATTCATATCAGCAGAAACCAGAGATACGTACCAAACCTCAGTTGCCTAATTGACGGTATGAGGTTGCTTTGAAGAGGCCTCAACGATACAAGCAAGCTCAACTGAAGATTCTTGACCTTGATCATCAGATTGATGAACATGCTGTTGTGTTGGTTCTTGGATCATTTTGTGGGAGTGTGAAGTCCCTGAAGCAGAGGAATTCCCACCAGAGGGTCTACTTTTTGTTCCTTCACGCCAACTCAAAATAGACGATGCCACCGAGGCTTTGAACTTCAACCGGCTTCCCATCTGGACAACACCGATGTCATCAAAAACATTTCAACTTCTCGTACGCACAACCTCGTATTGTTCTTTGCAAATGTTGGCAAGGTATCGTGTGTTTTCGTATTTTTGAGGACATCAAACATTTTGGATATCAATGTACCATTAAACTTTAAACATGCTTGATATCTAAGCTATTAGGACCAAGATGACATTTTATCAAATGCCTTCTTAAAAAAAATCAGAAGGTAAGCCTTTAGATTATCTTACCTGAGTCACTAGAGCATAAAGAGGCAAGGTGCTGTAACTGCAGAGCACTTGAACTATTAAGCTGCGCCACAATGATACGAAGTGAGAAGATGATACAACCCAATATCACCCGAGATGAATTAGAACTGAAAAGTAGAATGCTATGCCAATAGTCTTGTAACCTAATGACATGAAAGCTCTTATTTAAGTGAGAGGTCGCGAGTTCAACTCCAACTTCAGGCTATTAGTGCCTACCCCTCTAATTCAAAACAAACAAAAAGAAAAGGAAAGAATAATATGCTTCTTATATTATACCCCATAACGAGTCTTGTAACGATGAAGCCCACCTTCTCCATAATGCATGAATCAAATCCATATGTGAACTGCAGAGATGAGAATTAACAGTTTTAGAGATATTTTGAAAGTCTAAATATGCTCATCATCTTTGCATTTTCATTCCTCAACGTTTTAGTGGGTCTTGCTTCTTCATTTTATTTTTCAAAATGTCGTAACTCTTATCCTTACGCCTAATTATGTGACAACCTTAGATGTCATATCCTGGACACATGATGATAAATAAGAATGACATTATGACACAACTTTTTGAGCAAGTACAAAATTGGAACCAACAGATGAACTCATGAACATATGTCTTTTGAATTGAAAGAGAGATTTCATGTAAGTACTCACCAAAATCCAGAAGAAAAATGCTATCTCAAAAGAGTTCTGAAACAAAATGAAGTGGATCAAGTCAAGCACAAGAGCAGGGTTGCCAAACCAGAAGTGTTTATCTGAAGGTTTCACTCCTTGTTCTTTCTTTTCCTCCAAGGTTCCCCCAGCTTTTTCAGCCTCTTGATCTTCCTCTTCAATCAGTTGTACAGATTCTTGAGCCAATCGAGAAATTATATACTCTAGCTTCGCTCCCACAAGAAGAAGAAGCTGTAACATAAGGCAGATGAATGAACACAAAAGTTTCACTGGCATCACATCCCTCATGTGCAGCACTAACAAATTGTAAACGCTGGGAATAGCCTCAGTCACTTACTATCAATGGTAAAAAAGCTAACCAGAAATAAGTGTGCCATCCTGCATGGTGAATTTTCATGTGGATTAGATTTCTAAGACAACATTTGTGAAAGATATTGTTGTAGAAAGGATGTGTCGGTATTTAACAAAAGCAAATGAAATCATGATGCTGACTGACGTTTGACAAGTGAAAGATAACATTATCCCAAAAACGTCTCCCAAGAATATTGTCGAATCAGGAACAAATATTACCTTCAAGATTTAGCAGTAAAAAGAGCACAACAAAGAGCCACAGGTACCAGCTGTGATGGATGAACAATTTTAGAATAGATGGTCTTAAATTTGATGGCATAAACATTTTCTAACACACAAATTTCTAGATAGACCTGTTTCTGCCGACAAAAAATTGATAGACCAAATTGATCATAGATGAACGGTCAATTGCCTTAGAAGAAGTAGGTATTACGAAAAAAGTTCAACAAGTTTGCTAATCCATCTATAATCATTTTGGTCTATGATTATACTTCATATGTTTGATCTATCCAAAAGTTTCTCGATGTTTGAATTGAGAGAGGATCTCCTCCAGTACTGGAAGATAAAACAATGAAGAGAGAGGTGGGCCCCACAGTCATAAGTGAGTTCCACTTCCTTTCTTCCACTCTCTTCACTTCTCCAGAAATGAAAGAGATCTGAATCCATGTGAATTATCACCTTATGCCGACAACTTTCTTGAAGTCATCTTCAAGTGCTCCCATCATGTACTTGTGAAAATCAAAGTTAGGATCTCCTGGGACGTGTTTCTGGAAAAATCACAATTCATAATTAGTGGCCATTTCGTGTCTAAAAATAAGAGAGTATTAGTGAATAGCGAAGAAATGCCACATTGTATATAAAATTAGGAGGATCTTAACCTTTATAAATCCATGTCGCAGTGCAACGTAGTCAGACTCAGTAACAGAGCCATGAAATTGCTTGAAGAATGCTTTCTGCCAAAATGAACCCAAACCCAAAAGTCATCACATCAGGCATCTACTCAAACCTTTAAGTTCTCATTTCTGTAGCAATTTATAATCCATTCAAGCACTGGATTAAATCCATAAGTTAATTACAAAACCATTTTCAAGCCATTGCTCAAACCAAAGATGCGTTTGCTAAGATTTCCTTCAGGGAAATTAAAAGCTTTTCTAAGTTCCATTTTACTTAAATCTTCACTCAAAGATGGAGATACACAACTGTTGAAATACTGTATTTGTTAAGGGCATATTTTTGGTTAATTATATTACCAGTTGGGATAAGGCTTCATTGCTGATTATAGAAGGTCAACATATTGGAAATGCTGTCCTTAATTTGGATATAGATGTGATTCAAATGTACAGAAGATACGGAACCATTTTTCCCCTCATCCTCTCAGGCCCACAACAATATCTATCGTACTTTCGTTATTATTATCCAAGAACAATTTTCCCTTGTTGCTTTTTTATCCAAGAACACAAGGAACGTTACTCATCCCAAAAATTATTTTTCTTCCACTCTATTTGAATCCGTTCTCTATTCCAAACAAGACCAATGATTCAAATAAAGATGTTATGAGAACCACGTAGAGAAAAGTGATTCTTACAATCCAACTTATAACAGCAGCTTTTCTCCAAAATCCTTCAGCATGTATTTTTATGAACTCTCTCTCATGGAGAGCTTGGCTGTTATTAGCTGAACATAAGAAAATATTTAATGTTAGAACCTTAAATGCCAAGTCACTTCTTCAGGTGTTCTTGCACAGATAATATTGAGTTTCACAGTCATAATACCCGCTGAACCAAATCTTCTGTTTTTTCCATGAACATCAAGTTCCCACTTCTTCCATCGGCGGATCTACATGAATTAAACAATAAACATCATTATGGCACAACCCAATTCATGGAACTATGATATTCTTCATGTATGAGTGCACGCTTGAATTTCCTTTATGATGTACAGTGAGGAATACCGAAAGAAACTAAATTCCCTTTTCTGTGAAATTTAAAATGTCTCAAACAAATTCAACCCAGGGTAACGATACTACCATTTTTCATGATATCATAAAAGAGAAGCAAAACTGTATCAAACACAAGAAACAAGATAAGGAAAAAAAAATCTAAGATAAAGTTTGTATGAAGAAGATAGGTAGGCCAAGAAAATGATGAAAAGACATCTAAGCATGGTACATATCCTCTCTAATAAAACACTCCGTAGCACTTGCATATCTATTCACAATTAACTTAGTGTATTTTTGCAGTTTAACCAAATTTTCTTCAAAATAAAGAGTCAATCTCAGTGCTGATTTACCTTTGCACTTCCGAGGAGCATTGTGGATACACAGAATATCACATGTACAACAGCCAATACAAAGATGAAAATATGCAGATGATGTAATGATTCTAACGATAACAATGGAACCTTCCCCTGTTTAAGAAGAAAGAAAGGAATGTGTTATAAATTTATAAAAAAAAAATTGCAATAAATAAGAAAGGAAGCATAACTTGTTTTCTCAGTAAGAGTGATCTTTCTTTAATATCTTATTCAATTTCTTCTTACCTATCTCCCGGCCCTAAATGTAGGATCCATTACTATTCAGTAGGCTATTCTTTAAATCTATTAATATCTGGATTTACAGTTATTTTTTGCTATTACCTTTTGGGTACAATGCTTTGAAGCCGAACTAGTTTCTTCAGAAAACAGCCTTCTTCTGTTGGTTATAGTGTTATAGTATATTAAATTATGCTCTGAACCTGTTGTGGACTCTTGATGCCTCTTGCACGGAAGCATATTTGTTACAAGGCTTGGTGGGATACACATGCGACTTATCGAACCTTGAAAGACAGTCAACAGAAGGGAAATGAACCCCAAAAGCATCAATTCTGGTGAAAACAAAGTGGCAGACACACTTGTTAGTCTACACAATCCCGTAAGAATATATACAGAAGAATATTACGCAAGATTCAATATGAGTCAGTAATTGTGACGTGTATTCCATTTAAGAGTACAATCAATATTTATCATGATTAGTGTCATTATTCACTTACGGGAGTTTATTGGATCTGCAAATACTTATTCAGGTAACTTTCCTCTTAGAAACCCGGTTTCACTAATTATAGCATCCAATAATGAATATTTGTCATGAATAAATAAGCAAAGTCCATTGAAACCTTTTCCATTGAAGTTTATGACAGCATCCTTTTGTGATCAAAGTTATATTGGTAAGTCAGCAAATTAACTGACTAAATGATGTTATGTATCTTTATTGCCTGTAGAAAAATGAGATAAATAACTTTGATTTACTTAAAGTTCGTTTGTTGTTTAAATGAATGTGTGCATGTGAGGATTACGACAAGGAAAATCTACCTTCTTTTAGTTTCTCTAATGCTCGATTTAGTGCATCATTCCTGCCTTCCAGGTACTGTATCACCCAAGCCAATAAGCAAATTACTATACACCCAATAATTTACATGAAATAAAAACTAGGAAGAAATATAAATTGGATTCTCAATGGCAGAGGAAGGGGGCTAGCCGGAACCATGACCCCTCAATGAATACTATATATGATTTTTGATGGCTTCCTCAAAATAAAATTCTAGCTTCGCCCCGTTCCTACCCTTTATTTTTCTGTTTTTTTTTTTTTAATTACGTACAAATACTAAATGTGAACACTTTTCTGATAGTGGATTTGAATCTGAATCATTGTGAGGGACAAACTCCTTTCTCTGAACCCAATCCGTTAGTCTATTCTCTCTTCTACCTAATGTCTATCTCCTATCATCTTCCTTTTGCCACACTCCTATTGGCTTCTCACATTATTGTTGAAGCAAAGGAGAACTGTGATGGAATCACTGTTTGATCAAGGCAGTCAATTTCTTTAGGCACATAAGAATCTATCAACCAGTTTGAACTCCAGCTGAATGTGCCATGCCCCAATTGCGAAGAAAAATTAGATTATTAAATTTCCCTGCTCGATAGAAGCTAAGGAGAAGAATGGTTAAAGGTTTAAAAGTGAGAGAGCGTTATTACCTTCCCCAGACGATGAATGCCACGCTCGACCAAGAAGGAAATACCAACAATGATGGAGCAAACAACTGCAACAGTCCATGTTGGTGTATATTCCAGAGACTCGTTCGGTTCCTCTGCCATTTCCAGTAGTTGGCCTCAGATATCTGACAGAATTTTGTCAAAATTTCGTCTTTTTCTTGTTGCTGATTTCAGACTTTGGCCTGAAAAGTATTGGTAAGTTGGGAGATTATTGAAAGGAGTCTTGTTTAAATTGTTGAGGATAGTGAGGCTTGATTCTGCATCTAACCACTCAAAACGAAGCAAAGAATACTCAAGTCCAAAGCAAAATGACGTTGGCATGAAATTATGGAATTGGATGCTACACGCTCACTTCAAGTAACGCATAATTCACCAATTAGCATGTTGCATGCAGAATTAAAAGCACAGGAAACTTGCAATACAAGTTGTTTTTGCGGGTAGGATGTTAAATAACATGATACGATTAGCGTGGTATTTGCGGTTTGCACCAAATTTGAACAAATAAATTATAAGCAACACATTTTGTTGGCATTTTCCAATACTACTTCTAATCTTTAATATAAAAGTTAGTTATAGACTCAGTTGAGTCCTATATATAATATCTCAGTTTATTTTATTTTTAATATTTATTCATTTTGATCTCAAATAATTTATATAGTGATTGTATGTATTAAGGAGTTTTTATTAAAAAGTAATTTCAATACTCATAATTAATAAAAATTTATTAAAAAAGACGGTATCTATTTATTACAAATAATTAACTTAATTAATTTTTTTAATATTTACAGATCCAGCTCTCGTACAAGGTAATATTTATATAGATCAAGTGTTCCGCTGGAGCTTTGAAAGAAAGCTGGCGGACAAAAATGCCTTTGACTGATTGCAGCCAAAAGGAGAGACGTACAGCCATACAGGTGGTGGGGCCGCTATACCATACTTGAGAGAGAGAGAGATAATTCTCAAACAATCATCCATATAATTATTAAACAAGAGTATAGCTGAAAAAACAATGATTAGATGTTTGGTTTCTAAAATAACCAAAACGTTTGAATAAATAAAAAAGTCTGAAACAGCAAAATAGTTTCAATGGATGGAACATTCAGTAGCACAAGTTTTCTTAAATTAAGAACATGTAACTCATTTGTCATCATCTGTAAAAGATCGTATGAAACAGTCAAACAATTTCAAGATGTTCAGTTTTCAACTTTAAAGAATACAATGTTTATTACATATACACTACGTATGTCACAAAATTTAAACGAAGGGACACTAGTTTTCAACCCTTAATGCTAATCTTGAGTGCACAAACTGGCCCCAGTTTACTGGGCTCACGAGATATTGTTCCATAACTCCAATTATGTTCATGCCCTTCCAGTCTTCCTTCTTGTCTTCAAGTAATTTGGGACACACTCAGCCAAAAGAGATAATGAACAGCATAGCAACTTATGGTTTCCATGGCGCTGGAGGGGGTGGCGGTGTCGGGAACATTGGGGGAACAGCAGAGAAAAGGGTGTTTTTGTCAATCCCCGTGCTTTTGTCACCTGACAAGGCCACTAGTGCTGCTACTAATCCTGCATTTCCTGCAAGAGTTGGCTCTGTGTAGTTGTAATTAGTACGAACATCATGGAAACCGTCATGCCTGTCAGGACCAGCAACCATGGCTCCAACCAGGGTATTCGGGTTGGGTTTCTTTGAGTCTCTCCATTTCCATCCTCCTTTACAGTTATACTTAACCTTGTTCTTTGGAATAGATGCACCTCTATGGTGAACATGTTTCGGGTAATGTTTACCAAAACCTACAATATAGCTCATTTTTCGAGGGTTCTTCCCAAGGATGTACTTTATCTGCCCAAAAAAAAAAGCCAAACAGAAAGTCAGAGAAATTGAAATTTAGCAGACATTTCGCAGCGTTTTCAATTAACTGAGGAACAGCAAGAACCGATAGGCTTGTCAAGGGAGCATAATATTAAGCACCTGAGTCTGGGCAAATTCTCGAAGGACATCAGTAGAAAAGAAATTGGGTCCACAGTACCATCCTGGTGTATCAGCAGCGTCAAGATAATCACTATATAGGGTAGCCAAAAAGGCTGCATTGACGACATATTGGAGAGGCTGAGGTCTACCATGGTTCAACTGAATCAAGCCACCTGTGCAAAATATACCATTATTCACATTAGAATGCAAAGCAGCATTACCTCTAATGCCTAGTGAAATAATTTGAACAAGTAGGATCCTTACCTTTTGTTCTATTAAAGCTTGTGAAAACTGGCAGATAAGAGCACATAATTATGTTGGTCTGATTGTGAAAGGCACTTAGAATGTCTTCGTACGGGTAACCAGGACTTAAGAACAATCTTAAGCGACTCAGGAGAACCTAAGCACAAGATGTCAAAATTAAGTTACTAACTAAAGAAGGAATTGCAAGACCAAGAACATCTAACGGAAACAAAAACTGTTCTTAAGTTGCTGTCTATATTAGATAACTTCATATACTTGAGTCATTAACAATGGCACATAGTTCCTCATAGACTCACAAGAAAGTCAGCTAAATACAAACTGTCAATATGGCCATGCCCTACAACATAATGACATGACATAAAATCAGGGAAAGCAAAGGAGCGCTTCAAGAAGGGATAATAATGATCAAAGCAGTAGTAAACATGACAGACTAGATTTCAAAGCACTAGTAAAGAACTAACTTCATACCAAGAATGACTTACAAACAAACAGAGAATATGTGTGAATAAAAGCTTTAACAATCTAAAGATAGTACAAAAATATAGATCATGCTAAAAATCAAGATTCAAGAGTATTAAGCTGCATACAGCCGCTAGCCAGGTAACGTAGAACTCAACTATCAGTCAGAAACTCGAGATACAATATAATTAGAATAACCCAAGCTTCAAATACTTCAATTTCCAATTCCAACTACAGTCTGAGGACATGATCTCATTTGATCAAACAAATAAATAAGTTAACTTCAGAAAGCTCACGCAAAGAACCTCCATCAAATTACCTGAGCGCCAGCAAGCTTGTTATCCCAGCTCAAAACACCATAATCAGGGCCTCCCCAAAAGGCACCAGCATGCCTGGCAATGCCGCGAGTAGTAGCAAGCTTAAGGTAAGAAGAATTTCCAGTCGCAAAATACATCCAAGCCCCTCCCCACACAAATTCATCCCAGTAGCTGGTGGAATTGTAGAATAACGCAGCATCTGAACCACCAGCACTATATCTTCCTCTCTGGTCCCTTGAAAATTTAAACAACGTTGTGGCACCATGAACAAGTTTCTGTGAATAGGCTTTGTTATCTTTGAAAACAATGGATGCAGCAGCTAAAGCAGCAGCCATCTCTGCAGCAAGATCTGAGCAGCTATGACATTCATATACAGGTCTCTCGTAGTCAATGTCCTCTGGACGCATCCAGCAGTAATGGTCATTTGGAGTTGTACTTCCTCCGGAAGTATCCCCTGCCCCAACCTGTCAAAGAAGTCACAAAAACAACAATAAGATTAATTCCCCAACGATTTATAGTAAAATGACTGAGAACATTTTTCAAGCATGCATTATTACATGTCAATTTTTTTTTTTTAATATATTAGAAGTAACATCAAAATTGCAGAAGTTCAGACATAATGTAGAGATTAAATCCCTTGTTTGCCATTTTCCATGTGTTCTACACCCTGAATGGGGATCATAGAGGGTGTAGGTCTTCATGCCAAGTCCACGCCTAAACAAATGACCAAAACCAATGAAGACAAAGAGCCAAACTAACCCCCCCCCCCAAAAAAAAAAAAAAACACACACACACACACATCAACAGGAGGACAAAAGTTTTGGGGCACAGAAATCTCCGCATATGGAATAATAAGCAGAAAATCAACAATTCAAATATATCTTTTAAGCACAATGTTTACCTGGGCGGCGATTGTACTTATGGTATCAGCAGAATTATTGAAGGTCTTCAATAGGTAATCAGTCCCCCATTTAATTATATCCTTGATATGGTTGAGCTCCCCAGCAGCTTCGTATTTGGCACTATATTCTATTACACTCCAGCTCAACATGGTCATGGCAAACGATGAAGGGAAGTTGAACTTAATAGCATCTCCAGCATCATAATAGCCACCAACCAGATTCTTAATTGTACTTGATGTATCAGACTTGCCATCTTGCATACAGGAGTTACCTCTCCATGAAACATTGTTATGCTTAGGGAGTTTCCCAGCTGCATGCAGTGAACAATAAAAAAATTAATTTTTTTTAACCCAAATAATGTTCTGAAGCTAATCATCAAAGAGGGCTTCGTTTAGAACAAGTCACACATGATCATCTATGGGGATCGATGTGATTAGACATAGAATCAGCTCCAAAACTTGCTTACGAGGTGGATTATCCCAAATTCGTACCAGACTCTCGAATAAAGTGATCAAACAAGGAAAATAAAAATACAGCAACATGTAAAATCTCCAAATTTAATAATTAGAAGTTTTCCTAACAAAAGGTGGTCAGAACTGTACATAAAGACGTGCCGACTGAAGGAACCGACGATAAATAATCCATTACCTACATTTAACATCTTCAGATTTCATCAATAAAACGTATCTTGCAAAGAAACGGCTAAAAACATGAACAAAGGAGTAACCAGAGACTGCGGGATTCAATTGTAGATCATCAACAATCAGCATCAAAAATCTTCAATTCCCGTGACTAAAAACTATCTTAATAAGAAATTATCAGAAAGAGAGATGCATAGTCTACTGCAGGAATCAATCATAAATCGTCAAGAAGCAACATTTAAGATCTTCAATACCGTATTACAAGCACAAAAAAGAGAAAGACGGATAAGTAAATGAGTGTTTGATAGGTACGTGAGTGTTTGTGAGCGTGCACTTGGGTGAGCGACCGAGAGGGAGGGGTTAGAGAGAGAGGGGGGTCTCACAATCACAGGTACAAACAGGATGATTACCTCTAAGAGCAATTGAATGCTCAAGAGAATTATCAAAGAGAAAATGGTAGCAAAAAATTTATTTAAAAAAAAAAAAGGCTTACATCTTTGGGCGTTAAAGAACATAAGAGCCTTGTGAAGAGCTAAAGTGTAGTT